GGACATAAAAAATGTTTATTCTTTTATTATTACTAGTTAAATATATCCTTTCATTTGCTTCTTATTGTGTTTCCCGTTCAACATTGATTTCTATGATATTTTCGAAACAAAAATGCATAGGAGAAAATATAAGGCATATATTTCCTTTCTATAATTTCTGTTTCTCTTTCTTGGCTTGTTCAGCGAGTGCTTCTAAACGATCGTACTCTGCAATTAAAGCATCAACTTCACTTGCAGAAAGAATTCTTGTCTTCGTTTTACCATTTTCTCTCGTTAATGTGGCCATTTCAACTATAATGAAAAAGGTAAGGACTTAGGATTTCGTAGATTATACTTATTACAAAAATAGATATACAAAGAAAAAAATAAATTCACCTTTGTCCGAAGACAATTTATTCATATCTAAGGTCTTCGAAAGTACTTTTATAGCTAATGCCATAGCATCCTTCAGCGTTGTTTCTCCATCCTTGTACTCTTGTTTTAATGATGACACTGCTGCAGCTGCATTATTTCCAATACAAGTTGCTTTCCATCCACCATAATTTCCACTTGGATCTGACTGATATAATTGGTATCCATAATGTTTATCCCATCCCATATATAAAATTGAAACTCCAAAAGGTCTTTTCCCACCATACTGAGTATATGCTTGTTTTACATCACAAAGCCAAGAAACAAGTTGTTCACATGGAATTGGTTCTCCATATTGCAGAAAATAACGTTGCGCTATAAGGCGCAATTCATTTGTTAATACATTTGCATCTGACGTTATTCCAGCAACAGAACAAACAACATCATCATTTAGCTTATAAATTTTTTCAGAGAAAAATACTTCATCCAAAAGTTTATTAGTGTTACGCCTTTCTGCAGCAAGTAAAATCCCATCATTTGCTAGGATACCAAGGCAAGTACCCGCATGACTAATAGCTTCCATAGCATATTCTACTTGGTATAAACGTCCCTCCGGTGAAAAGATCGTTGTACGTGTATCATACCTCCGTGCCTACAATAGAGTACTATGAATTAAATATACATAATAATAACTATTTTCATCATCTCATATCTTACATCTGTGATGTAATATTTCTCATTAGTTTTCATTCACAAACATTAAATACATTAATAAAAGTTAATAAATAAAATACAGCATTATTCTGATCATATATAGATGATGAAGTTCTAACCTACATATTCTATTAATGAAAATAATACAAATTAATAACGAGGTATTTTAGTCAAATCTTTTACTTAGGGCAGAATTGAATTGAATGCGTTCATATGATCAAAATATAATTCAATACTAACAAAATTAATTATTCTGTCATTGTTATATAGAGAAGTTTATTATTGTCTGATGACAGTGCAATTTATATAACCTAGTCGGCATTATCCCATAAGAAAATTGATGAAAATAAAACAATATTATGAATAATAATCATAACATAAAAATTAAATAAACTTATATAATACTTACCATTATGCGAAACTTTTGTTAGTATAATTACAACACTTTAGAATGTAGAATTGAGAGTTGACTCTATAAGCATACAAT